GAAGCGTCCCCACGGCCATGTGATCAGATTTTGGGCGCTTGGCAACTGGCATATGTTTACAATGGTTGCAGCATCCCGGGGTCACATGATCACCTTCCCAGCCAGCTTCCAACAAGCAAAATCAATGGGGAACTGTGTGATTCACTTAATGGCCACATGATTCACTTAACAACCACATAATTCACTTAATGACTGCAGTGATTTGCTTAATGACCACCGCAAAAAATATTGCAAAATCGGGTGCGGTCATGTGATGCCTCGCTTAACAACTGCACTGCTTAACTAATTTTCTGGTCCCTATTGTGGTCATAAGTTGAGGACTACCTGTATAATAATCACAAAGTTCCAACAGAAGACAACACAACTAGCAGTCAGAAGATACGATGAAAATTCCTTAATCTCACAACACATGAACAGACCCAACCATAGTTTCAGCTGGGAAACTCTGAGCACCCTAGAGCAAGCTAAATCCAAAAATGTTGGGGAATTCCTGGAACCTTGGCATTCAGACACATCAGCCATCAATAGACACATAGAGATAAACCACATTTACACGCCAAGGTTCTTGGACCTTCCTTGGTAATGACTTTGGTGGCTCCTGCCTTTTAACCACATCTGCAATTTTGCAAATGTTGCTCAGAGCACGGGAAGCACTGAGAGAGGCCACGGGGCCGGGAAGGCTTGCAGAAGCCCACGTGCATCTTGGGAGCCTTGTGCCTGAGCTTTATTAACAACAAGTAGAAGGGAGCCTCTCTCATTGAGGCAAGCTATCTTCATCACAAGGCCTGAGAGCTTCCTGGCAATTCCCTTTGCTGTTCATCCAGCAGCCCAGAGGTCTCCCACATCCTCCTAACACCCCTTCTATGGCTGCGTATTATCCCAGTGGATAAAACGGTAGAGAAAGTCACCTGGGAGCCAAGACGTACTTTCTACCCAGAAGAACCAGAAGCTGTTTCTGCTTGGACTGAAATAGAATTGATTCTAACTCTGCCTCAGTTCCTAATTCTTTATGTTTCTCTTGCTTCAAAGAAGGATGAGAAGGAAGATTCACACTGGGAGGGAGGGAGAGAGGGAGGGAGGGAGGGAGGCAGACTGAAGAGCTCCGCCAGATACAGCATCACAACAGCCCCCCCCCATAATGACTATTGCGATGTTCAATAATACTTGATATCGCCATCCTGCCCCTGCCTCTCCCTTTCAACTTCTTTTGCCAGCCCTCCCATCTATTTTACACTCAAAATCCACCATGCCTGCTGGGCCCTTTCTCATCTTCCTGTCCCTTAAATTGATGGCTTTGAAATCACTGGGTACAATAATTCCAGCATGTAGGTATCTTGCGCCAGGCCCTGGGCGGCACACAGCTTTGAGTGCCAGGCAGACTCCCACCCAACTAACCTGATGCTCCAGGGTGCGGTCATTCAGGCCAGCATTCCCCAACTTGACACTCTCCACGTTGGTCAACCTACATTTCCCCATCCCAGTTGGCCTGCGTGGAGTCACCCACAAGCACTTTTTATCTGGATTCCACCCCATCCTAAGGTCATCTTCTACTATGAGGTCCAGAGAGAGATCACACGCCTCGGTATGACATTAGTTGGGAGGGAGACTGTGGAAATTGTGTGAAGAAGTATTGTGTGTTGTTATTTTATTTTATTATAGATTCGCACGGCCGCCCATCTTAGAGCACAACTCTGGGCGGCTGAACACAACAAATGCTGCTTCTATCGGATTTAATCAAAGCTGCCATGCGTAGCTTCACGCAATGCGCCGGTTCCAGTCCTTTCTCCAGAACGCAGGGACGGCCTTCCAAGCGGGTGCTTCCAAAGGAGGATGTACTGTGCAATCCTGCTTGATCCAGCAAGGAATGATCGGAGCAGCGTCTTCTGCCCACGGACGTCCCACTTCTCTCCCCCTCCCTCCCACACGCGCACCCCTGAAACCGCTGCCCAGTCCAGCTCTCCCATTAATGCAGAGATGCCCGTGCCCAGGTGCTGCGGTCCTGCCCGTTCCCCGTGAGCAGCAGCAGCAGCAGCAGCAGCCTCGCCGAGACACCCGGACCCCACGCCGAACGCAAGGGAGAGCCACGGAGACGACAAGGGGCCCGGCGGCTAAATGCTCTCAGGATGCTGCAGGCGCTGGGCACGCGCAGCTTAGCCGAGAGGAGACGAGGCCGGCGGGGGGGCGCCGACTGAGGGCAGGGCGAGGAGCTCCTCAGAGGGAGCTCCGACCGCGAGGACGGGCAGCGGCG